TGGCTAAGACACTTGACTGCTAACCGGAAGGCTGGTGGTTCAAACCCACCAGCCACTCCTCGGAAGGAAGATGGGGCAATCTACTTCCGTAGTGATACTGCCTCGGAAACCCAAGGAGGGGTCGCTATGAGTCGGGGCCGACTCGACGGCATATGACAACAACAAACAACAACGTTATCATGGTGGTCACGGACTCTTTCCATATATCCCTCCCCTTACCCACGTCAGCGTGTGGGCCCCAACTATTGTTGTTGTTGTTATATGCCATCGAGTCAGACCCAACTCATAGCGACCCTTCCTTGGGTTGCGGAGGCAGTATCACTACGGATGTAGATTGCCCAACCTTCCTTCCGAGAAGTGGCTAGTGATTTTGAACCACCAGCCTTCTGGTTAGCAGTCAAGTGTCTTAGGCACTATGCTACCAGAGCTCCCAGGCCCCAACTACCTCAAAATTAATCCGTTCCCTTCCCTCCCCACCCGTTTTGTAGGTTTTGTAACCTACAAAGTGAGTTCCCTTTTGCAAGCAAACCCTTCATTTTACAGTAATGAGTTCATACAATATTTGTCCTTCTGCAATTGTCTTATTTCACTCAGCATAATGTCCTTCAGGCTCATCCACATTGTGAGATGCTTCGCATATTGTTCATTGTTCTTTAATGTAACATAGTATTCCATTGTGTGCATGTACCATAATTTGGTCATCCACTCATCCGTTGATGGGCGTTTAGGTTGTTACCATCTCTTTGCAACAGAGCTGCGATGAACACAGGTATGCATATGTCTGTTCATGCGCTATCTCGCAATTCTTTAGGATATATTCTGAGTAATGGAATTGCTGGGTGAAAAGGAGACAAATCCTACAAGAAATGCTTAAGTAAGTCCTACCAATAGAGAACCCACAACAGAGATTAACAAAACCAGGATACATGGCATCAACACTAAAACCAAATCAGAAATAGATACTCAAAATAAGACCATAAAACATTCTACCTTAAAAACCAAGGAACTCAATCAGCACACAACAACAGCAACTAACCTATCAGAGGTAATAAAACTTCTAGGTACAGACACTCAAATGGAGAGGAAAAAAGGACAATGTCTTCACAGCACACACATTCTAAAAAGGTAGAGACAAGAATATACTACAAGGTAACCACAGAGAAAAGTTACAATTGTTCTAAGCAAATCCATAAGGAAGGAAAACATACGGGTTTAAAAAGCATAATACCAACTATAAAGAAGAAAAGGGAGAAAGCATTAGCCAACAAACTGAACTTAGCACAGAAAAGTTTATGGACCAAAGAAACACCAACAACACGACAAAAAACACAATAGAATGACACCAATCAATTCATACCTATCACTAATTACACTCAATATGAATGGACTAAATGCACCTATCAAGAGAAAGAGAGTGGCAGACTGGATAAGAAAAGAAGACTCATCGATATACTGCCTTCAAGAGATGCACTTTAGACACAAAGACAAAAACAAATTAAGAGTTAAGGGATGGAAAAGAATATACTAAGCCAATGGAAACCAAAAAAGGGCAGGAGTAGCAATACTGATTTCTGATAAAATAGACATTAAGGTGAAAAACATCGTAAGAGACAAGAAGGGATATTACACGATGCTGAAAGGGTCAATTGACAAAGAAGATGTTACAATAATAAATATTTGTGCACTCAATAAATATGCTCCAAAATATGTGAAGCAAATATTAACTGAATTAAAAGGGATAGTAGACAACTCTAAAATAGTAGTAGGAGACTTTAACACACCACTTTCAAGGAGAGACAGGTCAAATGGAAAAAAAATAAGCAAGGATACAGAAGAACTTAACAGTACAATCAACCAACAAGAACTCATAGATATATACAGAGCATTTCATCCAACAAAAACACAATTCACATTCTTTTCCAGTGCACATAGATCCTTCTCCAGAATAGACCATATGCTAGGACATAAAACAAGCCTCAATAAATTAAAAAGCACTGAAATACTGCAAAGCATCTTCTCGGAACACAATGCTATAAAACTAGAAATTAATAATAGGAAGAGCAAGGAAAAAGCATCAAACATATGGAAGCTGAACAACTAACTGCTCAAAAACTATTGGGTTACAGAACAGATAAAAACGGAAATAAAAAAAATTCTTGAAACTAATGAGAATGAAAATACATCCTACAAAAACCCGTGGGACACAGCAAAAGCAGTACTCAGAGGACAGTTTATAGCAATAAATGCATACATCAAAAAATAGGAAACAAACAAAATCAACACTCTAACTCATCAACTCCAACAACTAAAAATAGAACAAAAGAATCCTACAGTAACTAGAAGCAAGGGAATAATAAAGATCAGAGCAGAAATAAATGAAACAGAAAACAAAAATACCATAGAGAAAATCAAAAAAGAGATGGTTCTTCAAAGTGATTAATAAAATCGATAAACCACTGGCAGACCTAACAAAAGAAAAGAAAGAGAAGATCCAAATCACAAGAATGTAAATGAAAATGGTGTCATAACAACAGAACCAACTGAAATAAAACAGATACTGACAGAAATTATGAAAAACTATCCAGCCATGATTTGAGAACCTAGCAGAGATGGACAAGTTTCTAGAATCACAAGACCTACCTAAATTATCCCACTCAGAAATAGAAAACTTGAACAGACCCATAGCAAGGGAAGAAATTAAACAGGTCATAAAAAAACTTCCCACAAAGAAAAGCTCTGGCCCTGATGGCTTCACTGGAGAATTCTATCAAATATTCAGAGAAGTGTTGACACCCATGCTACTAAAGCTATTCCAGAACATAGAAAAAGATGGAGTACTCCCCAACTTATTTTATGAAGCAAGCACAACACTAATACCAAAACCAGGAAAGACAACACTAGAAAGGACAACTACAGACCAATATCACTCATAAACAGAGATGCAAAAATCTTTAGCAAAATCACAGCTAACAGAATCCAACAACATATCAAAAAATTAATAAATCCGGACCAAGTGGGATTCATACCAGGTTTACAAGTGTGGTTCAACATCAGAAAATCATACACAATCTGAAGCCAACAGACTTTGGCATGTTAATTATATGTAAACAAACATGTGACAGCTAACACATGCTTGTTCATGCCCAATATTTGGATCATATATGAATTACTATAAAAGAATTGTCTAGAGTGGATATACGTATACTCAATTAGAATTGATCTTTACTATACTTCGGTGAAACAGAAATACATAAAGCAAGAAAAAATATAAGCAGATCATATAGTTCCACAAATAAGGTTGTTATTTCTAAAGAATCTGAGTCATGCATGGAGTTCTGGAAGCAAAATCCTATTTAGGATTTTCTGAGTTTAGGAAACTAAAGATTGACCACATACTCTAGACTGGACTGCTCCTAATTTCTACTATATTACAAAATCTCTGTTTAATATACCCCAGACTATCCAAAGAAGTAGGATGATTTAAAATATAATGTTTTAAAAAATAATAATAATAAAAAAAGCTAGCCATATGATACACCCTTAAAAAAGCCTGAATCTTTAATAATGAAGTAAAAATAAAGATGGATGTAATCATTGTAAAATCATTCTTTAAGATCTTGCCTCAAGACAGCATTCACATAGAGGGAAAACTGGAAAGACAGGAGTGCATAGTTAAGAAGATCACAGGAGGGGACAGTCACAAGGACAGGAGCGGAGGAGAGTTTGTTATGGTCGGGGATGGCAACTGGGCTGTGAAATCAAATGCACACGAACTACTGAATGTGAAACAAATTTTGCTCTGTAAATTTGCACCCAAAGCACAATAAATTTCTTTAAAAAAAGATCTTACCTCAATATACTGCTCAATTTAAAATAATAGCTCTCACCAGAGTCTTTCAGGTTTTTGGTTTTTCACAATCTTTTGTTTTTTCTGTAGGGCATTTGTTTTGGTTATCTAATTATTACATTATTAATAATTATTATTAACCATTATTTGGTTACAGAAATACCACAAATTGGATGGCTTTAACAAACTGTTTATTCTTACAATTTGGAGGCTTTAAGTCCGAGTCCAAAGTGCCAGGCTCTAGGGGCTGGGTGAAAGCCCCTCAACCTTGGGCTTCAGCTCTGTGTCCTGCTCCTGGCCCACTGAAGCTAGAGGCTTTTCTTCACTCAGACAGCTGCTAGCTGCTGAGATTGTCAAACCCAAGGTTGACAAGTAAAAAGGCACAGTCCTGATATTACCAAACAATACAGCAGACCACTGATTCAAGTACACTAAAGTCCCAAGATTGGCAGAGTATGGCAGTCTGCTGAATAATGACTTGGCTATAGGCAGGGTTCAATCGTGCCATAAGCTAGAGACCATTCCCAAAGCTGTTTCTTATATACAGAAAGCAGACCACATACCCAAAGCAGCTACTCAGCTGCTCCAATAGATCCCACCATGGAGTTAATTACCAATCTCACCATGGGGAACAACTACATTCAGTTGCCCAGCCACTCAACCAGGCCCAGCCAAATTGACACACAAACTTAACCAACACATCATTTGTGTTTTTTTGTTTGTCTTAATAATTTAAGTATTTGTACTCAAAAGACTACAAATTCAAAAAGGACAAAGTTGAGACTCAAAGGGTAAAAATATAAGCTGCTTAAAAAAAAAACATCTTGTGGGAATTACAGTTTTCCAATCTATACATCATCTTACTTGCTAACTAAATATAGTTAAGTTTGCCTTAGTTACATGTTTTTGGTTATAGAAAAATGGTAGAGAACTTAGGGCATGAAGAGTCTACCACCAATTATGACTCAATGTTATACTGTTCCAGGAGCACAGACTATATAAGCCATGTTAAAACTAATTCTGTTGTTCAGAGGAAGAATGCAAAAGAACATAGTACCAAATGGGGAAACAACTATTATCAAGGCAAAAATATTAAAACCACATCTTTAAATTCACATTCAAGTAGTTTAAGAACTGTATTTTAAAAACATACCTTGTCCATTAATTTACTTGCATGAAGACTCAAGCTATTGAAGAATATTTTTTTGCTTAGCAAATGCATTTCTTCAATGGTAGTCAGCAAGGTGGTTGCACTATTTCCAACAATGCCACTAAAAGCAAAAACATTTCAAATTGCAAACAGGCTGAAACAGTTCAGTTCCTTACCTGTGTATAATGCTTTAAAAAGATCTAGATTTACATTAACGATTTTATGTAAATACAATCTATAAATCAAAAACAGTTACTCCAGGTTCACACAAAAATGTCAGCTATTGTTTTTTCTTTTGACTTAAATGATGACAAAATGAAACAAAATACTATGCTTTCTATATTTCACAGTATCTTTAGCAAAACTGCACCTTAGACTCCTATCTCCATTCTTCCTGTATTGAAGCAGACTTAAGTCTGAGTATCTAAAATATATTTAATTTTAATTCTAAGAAACTCATTCCATCAATAGCTCTAAAGAATATTTGTCTTCATTGTGCACATATTTTCAAATAAAATATTTTACACTGATGTAATATTACTCAAGTATTTGAAAATAAAATACTTAAATTTTATAAATACTGAGTTACTCTTTTAATGAAAACCATTATATCATATCAGTAGCTTATTTATAAATTATAGTTTCTCAATTTTATACATTGCCTAATTGGCAACATATTGAGTCTGATAATTATGAAAAATTGTAAATTTTGAAATAAGTAACTATATCACCACATTCTATATTCCTCAATTTGCTGCTACAAGGATATTTTCAGACTTTATCCAAAGAGAAACCCATTTGTGCCAGGATATAAGTCAAGCATGTACATAAAACAATTTCCATTTTTATTTGTGTAATTCATGTGCTAAAAGTGAATTTCCAATAATTTTTAAGAAAAAGCATTTGTTGTGCAAAACTAGACTGTAATATAGTAAAAATCATACTTCCTGAAGGCACACTAACGTCTTACCATACATGAAAAAAAAAGCAGATTGCTGGAAATGAATATAATGGCATTAATAAATACTAGTAAACTGCTAGCCAAAAACACAGAAATTTACTGATAAATAATATACCATACATGATATATTATAAAAGCAAATAGAAGTAACATATATTTCAATATATTCTGAAACTATAATGAATTTGAATGGATGACTATATAGTTGATGCAGACAGAGCAAATTATTAGTTAAAAAAACAGATAAAGCCAACAGCAAAATACAAATTCCTAAACAATCAGCCATGATATTTGTATTTTAAAAACAAAGAAAGGTCTTTCAGTAAAAAATAGTATAAACCAAATATCAAAATAAATTGGAAGGCATTCTAACACATACCTATGAATGCAATGAATGCAATGAAAACAAGTATTTCCCTGAATAAATATACAAGCAACATCAAGCAACAGAGAGAGAAAACTGAATGAATGCAAACAGGAACTTGTATTTTAATAAAAACTTTTGAGACATTCAGATACACTTTTTTTTAACTTTTTATTGTGATTTGGGTGAAATTTTACAAAGCAGATTGTTTTACCTTCAACAGTTCATATACATTTTGCTCTGTGACACTGATTATATTCACTGTAGTGTAACAAGGAGCTCTGGTGGCATACTGCCTAACATATTTGACTGCTAATTAGAAGGCTAACAGTTCAATGCCCCTAGCCACTCCACAGAAGACTAGGTAATCTACTTCCTTAAAGATTTACTGCCTCGGAAACCCAATGGTGGTCAATGAGTTCGAATCAACTTGATGGCAGCGAGTTTTGTTTTGTTTTGTTTTTTTTTGTCTAACAGCTCTTCTACCACTCTCCTCCTTGTTGTTAACCTATCCCTGTGTCCTTCTTGCCTATGCATTCCTACCTTCCAATCTTTTTCCCTGCACATATGCTGACCTTCTTATCTCCCATAGCTGACTGTTCTAAGGAGTGCATCTCCCTAGTGTATTTGTTTACCTCATAGGCCTGTCGATTTTTTGGCTGAGAGTTAAGCAACAGGAGCGAGTTCAATTCAAGGCCAGAAGGGTGACTCAGGGCCATAGTTTCAAGGGTTGCCCCAGTGAGACATTCCAATACGTTTTTTAAATTTGGAGTTATCAGCTGCATTCTGCAGTTATTCACATCTCAAATTTGCTTATGTTGCTTCAGTGCTCACTAGGCTACACACTCTGAGAAGTATCCCAACATGCTCTATTAATTGAATTTTCAGTTTTAGGTATATAAGATAACACAATGAATTCTCTAAATTCATGAGGGATAAGAATCAGCATCAGCATCAAGCTGGTCTCCACGAAGCAGGTATCAAGCAAATCTCTACCTTCTCACTTCTCCATTATTTCCGACACCAGCTGCTACCTCCATGGCACTCTCTAGTTTTCTGCAGGATTCAATAATTTGTTGCAGTGGCCACACAGAAATCATAAACCATGCTCACAGTTATACAGTTTATTAGAAAAATAAGAAGCTACAGAGATCAGATCAACTTGCAAGTAAGAGGAACAACTTAGGATCAGAATCAGGAAGCATATGGGCAAAAGGTCTGGAAGTGGACAGCCCATCCCTCCCCTCTTAAATGCAGGACATTTTCTGAACAGGACAATTCTCAGAGCAAAAACACTCACAGAGCAGATAAACATGGAGCAGTTACAGCAGATCTCAGCTGTAACAGTCCTAAGACCATTTTCAGCTGGTGCCACCACTCAGCCAGCAATCAGTGGGAGCTGCTTCTCTGCTGGACAGCTGTTCTCTGTGCCAGGTGAGTGCCCCAATTTGGCTTCTCTACCAGCTGGCTGCCTTCCCTGGTGGCGAGGCCTCTCTGCTGTTGGCCTCTACACCATCGAGCTCTCTGTAATCAGGTTCCCCATCATGAGGCTCTCTGCCATTAGCCTCACCACCTCTAAGTGGCCCAGCTCATATCCAGTGTAGCAGCTTCCTCAGTGCCCTTAACTGATGCTCTCCTAGTAGAAGCTATCTGCCATCCATCAGGCCTCTTTGCCACCAGGTCTCTTTGCCACAACGTCTCTCTGCTGTCAGGCCTCTCTGTCATTGGGTGCTCTGTCATCAGGCTATCCAGCATTGGCCTCTTGCTAACAGGCTTTCCACCACTGGCAGCCTAGCTCATAGCCATTCTAGCAATTTTAGACCACTCTGCTCCCATGCAGCTCTGCTTCTCTGCTAGTCCAGCTCTCAGCCAGCAGCTCTCTCAAGTGTAGGTTTTTTTATTTTTAACCAGGACCAACTTGTCCCAAAGGACACATGCTTGCCCCTGCCCCCCACCCCAGCTCCTATTGACCAAGAAGCCTTGAAAACCTATGTTTTAGCCCTTTATATACTCAGTTACAAGGTAGTGCCTCCCTCACCAGACTAGAGTTCAACCAATCCTCAATTACCTATGAGATATCAATCAACTCAAGTCTTTTACAAAAAAAAAAAAAAAAAATTCTACCAGCAGAAACTGGCTCCTCTACTGGGCAAAAGTAACAAACCTTTTGGGGTAGAAAGCATCCTGGTAGTTCTCCCAAGTTGGTTTTCCTAAGAACTAGGGCAAAGGTAGCAACTTCCTGGGGCTCTGAGGGATTCTCTCTCAAGCTGTTTTTCCAAAGAACCAAGGCAAAAGGCCATAAAAAGGAATTCACTGCACTACAAGGTAGTACATACAAATTTCCTGATACAAAGGACGAGAATTGAGCTCTTACACAATGCTCCTCTGCCACCACAATACACACACACTTCCATCTTCGTCAGGCCTCCTAGCAGAGGCCCATCACAAGGTTCTGGTAAGTCAATGCTCAATGCTTACATTATTAAAAGCATGTAAACATTATTTAGAAGATGACCATGGAATAAGGGACTCCAACACCAGGCAATGAGCAGGATAGTGAAGAAGATAAGCCCCAACAGACAGTCATGAAGTAGGCCTAGAAAGCAATCAGTCTAGACTGGAGAAGGAGAGTGAAGGTCAGCAATAGGGATGTCAGACAGCAGTGAGAAGTGTGGCAGGGTTACCAGGTGTGCAAGAAAATGTGAAGCAATATGATAAAATTACAGCAGAGTTGTTACATATACTTCTTCTTAAGATTTGGGTCTAATATAGCAATGAGAGCATGGTAAAGTTAGCAAATACAAAAATACAGCAATTATTAACTCCAAGCACAGAACATTCTACAGGAAAGAAATATAATCAAAGTCTGTTGCCACTGAGTTGAGTCCAACTCACTGAGACCCTAGAGGACAGAGAACTGCCCCATAGGGTTTCCAAGGCTGTGGGATGGCTGCCCACATCTTTTTCTCATGGAATGGCTAGTGAATTCAAACTGCTCTTTCAGTAAGCAGTCGAGCACTTAACCACTGCCAACCAGGGCTCCTTTACTATATACCAAACCCAAAACTAAACCCACTGTTAACTAGTCAATTCCAACTCATAGAAGCTCCCACTGGGTTTCCACGGCTGTAAATCTTTATGGAAGTACATTGTCTCATTTTCCTCCTACGGAGCAGCTGGTGGGTTTGAACCAACCTTCTGGTTAGAAGCCAAAAACCTTACGCACTATGGCTCTAGAACTCCTTATCCTTTACTGTATAAACCAAAAAAAAAAACAAACTCACTGCCATCAAGTTGGATCCAACTCATAGTGACCCCTCCTTGGGTTTTCTGAGGTGGTATCTCTACGGAACTACATTGCCCAATCTTCCTTCTGAGAAATGGCTGATGGGTTCGAACCACCAGCCTTCTGGTTAGCAGTCAAGTGCCTTAGACACTATACACCAGTGGTCCTTTTACTGTATAGCAAGTAAAATTTTTTTTGAGATCTTGCATGTCTCCTGTTTTTTCCCTAACTTCTCTGGGTATTCCTTCCCAATATTCTTTGTGGGTTGCTCCTCTTCCTGACCACTAAATAGTAGAGTGTGCTGGGACTCAGTCCTTGGCTGCCTTCTTTATCTACACACACTCCCTAGGTTGTTTCATCCACCCTCATGGCTTCAAATAACTTCTATAGCTGAAAACTAACATACTGAGTTTCAGTCCCGATGGTCACAGGCACACCAAAACTGACACAGCCAAAACTGAACTTGTCAGTTTTGTACACCCACCCACCACCCCCTCAATTTAGGAAGCAGCAACACCATTCACCTAATTATTCAAACTGAATAATTCAAACTCATCCTTGACCCTTCTTTCTCTCATATCTCACTCCACCTAGTATGCATGTATGTATGTATATATCATATTGGTTCTAAAATAAAATATACCCTGAATCAACTACTTTCACCAGCTCCAAAAACATCATCCTAGTCTAACTCATCATTAACTGTTCATAATCCCAAAGTGCTAAGTATCTTCCTTGCTTCTGTTTTTGCATCTTCCCACTACACTCCACCATGCACAAAATTCCCAGAGTAACCTTGTATCATTTATCAGCTCATGTCTTCCCCAAATTACTCAGTTGTTGTTGTTGTTGTTGTTTGCTGTCAAGTCGGCCCTGACTCATAGCGACCCCTCCTTGGGTTTCCGAGGCAGTATCACTACGGAAGTAGGATTGCCCAACCTTCCTTCAGAGGAGTGGCTGGTGGGTTTGAACCGCCAGCCTTCTGGTGAGCAGTCAAGTGCCTTAGGCACTATGCTACCAGAGCTCCTAAATTTCTCAGTATAAAATCTAAATCATCAGCATGGCCTACAAAATATTACATGACCTGGCCTCTGCTTTTGTCTCTAATTTTATCTCCCCTTACTTCTTCCAATTCATACAGTTCCAACCCCTGGCTTTCTTCCTAGTCCTCAAACATAGAAGTTTTTCTTGGCCTCAGGTCAGAGTGTACCTCTGCCAGGGGCACCCTGAGATCTTCTCATGCCCAGCTCTTTCACGTAATTCAGGTCGCAGTTCAAATTATTACCTTTACCAAAAGATCTTCAAAAATAAGTCACACAAACACCCCTACTTATACATGGTCACTCTCCATAATTTGTTTCCTCTATTTTTCTTTGGAGCTTTGGTAGCATAGTGCCTAAGGCACTTGACTGCTCACCAGAAGGCTGGCGGTTCAAACCTACCAGCCACTACTCGGAAGGAAGGTTGGGCAATCCTACTTCCGTAGTGATACTGCCTCGGAAACCCAAGGAGGGGTCGCTATGAGTCGGGGCCGACTCGACAGCAAACAACAACAACAATTTTTCTTTAATGCTCTTATCATTATCTGAAATAATCTTATTTTACACTTGTTTAATTGTTTGTCTTCCCTATTAGAATATAAGGAGCTCTGGTAGCATAGTGCCTAAGGCACCTGACTGCTAACCAGAAGGCTGGTGATTCAAACCCACCAGCCACTCCTTGGAAGGAAGGTTGGGCAATCTACTTCCGTAGTGACACCACCTCGGAAACCCAAGGAGGGGTCACTATGAGTCAGGTCTGACTCAATGGCACATAACAACAACATTAGAATATAATCTTAAACTCTGTTTTGTTTATTGCTGTTTACTTAGCACCTAGAAGAGTAACATGTATACAGTCAACTTTTAAATTAAATAAATGAGAAAATGTATGACCAAGTAGCAAAAGTACATGCAAAAATGTATCAAAAGTAATTGTCATCCTCAATATCATCTTCAAACATAGAAAAATATCATAATTCTCAGACTCCAAAAACTACTATTATCTTCAGAATCCAAATGATTTTATTCCTAGCATTCTCTACTTTAGAAACTGGTTGTCATTATGTTCAAATAATAAGTTTCATGGAGTACCATCATGGGCACTACTAAATAATTTAAAAATTATTTTACCACTATCTTTTCATAACATGGAATTTGATATAAAATGTCCAGCTTTCAAGTGATCTTGTTACTTCTGTTTGAAAATCCATCAGTAAGACATATGCTCATCTGTTAGCCGTGATGTTCTGAATGACTTCGCTGAGCTACTATGGAGTAGATAACATAATTGCTGAAGTCTTTGGTGCTCAGTGTACTGGCCTGTACCCTTCTCCCAGACCTGTTAGTTATAATTCCACTGTCCTTTAACACTTGACCTTCTATTCCTGATACTGACGTCTTGGATAAAAAGTAGTTTTCAAATCATTTTTTGAATGGTAACTATCAAAAAATACAGCATTGAAGGACATTGCTTAAACAGGCTACACATATAATATGGTCTTATAGTGACATTTTAATGAAGCCCACATGTATACCACAAATAAATATATGCACTGCAAAAATGAATTCAAATTTTGGAGTCAAAGATCATATTTTAGATAAGTAAAGTGGTTTCTAATCTAATGATAAAGTAGCTTTTATTTAGAGAAGCTAAAGTTGTTCTATCACTGACAGAATACTAAATGCTAAAGAAGGAATTAGGTTACTTACATCCAGAACAGAGCATTTCACTTACCATGCCCTATTCTGAGTATAATATACAGTTGTTTTAGTTACCAAGGATCTCACTTACATATGCAAGAAAACTCAGCAATACTTACTTTCTACTGTTACATCAGCTGTATGTTCATCTGTATGTGCATGTGTATACTTGGAGAAGGAAGAAAAAAGGAAATGACAGAACTTAAAGGATAATGTAAACTTAAACTTGAAGTATAATATGCCTGTAACGATTCATATGATATGACTAACTTAGTCATATATACTGTGAAAACAAAATAATCTTACACTGTATTCAATGTCAAATGAACTATCACAGAGGATTTAACAAATATGTTTCACCATTTCACTTACCTAATTGTATGGTGGTAAAATTTGAGGAGATTAGAAATTTTGTATAATAAAACTGCCCCAGGTTCAGCAACTATTACTTGCTCAATTCGAACCTATTAAAACACGTGAGAAATTAAGCATTTCTTAAAAGTATAACTTTTCTTCATTAATCACATGTGATATAAATAGCAATAAAAAAATGAAGAAAAAATCTACTGCAGACATCACAAAATGCTTCCTAAAGAACTTCTAAGGAGCTCTGGTGGTGCAGGTACCTAAGGCATTTGACTGCTAACCCGAAGGCTAGAACATCAAACCCACTAGCCACTCTGCAGAAGGAAGAACGGGCAATCTACTTCCGTAAAGATTTACTGCCTCAGACACCTAAAGGGGGTTGCTATTAAGTTGGAATTGACTTGATGGCAGTGAGTTTGGTTTTTCGGGAAAGAACGTCTAAGTATTAGGCCTTGAGATGGTAAAATAACATTTTAGCACAGGTAAACTCTATAAACAATCATCTATTACCTATAAAATTTAGCTCAAGGCAGTTGTTACCAGAAATATTAATACCATGAGATCATTTTTGTGATTTATCACATAATGGAATTCAGTTCAGCATCAAATTGCAAAAACAGCTGCTACATTGCTAAAAACAGTTTATCAATGACAGTATGCTACCCTATCACCAAATATTCAGAAATGGTGAAAGAATTCTGCTCTTTAAAATATTATACCAAATCTCTTTTCTGACTATTAATCAGACAATAGTAAAACGATAAATGTTGGATTAACACAAAATATTTGTCCAGTTATAAGATTACTAAGGCAAAATAAGATCAAGTAGAAAATTAAATTAGATCTGCCTCAAATTAGCTAACAAGAATTTTTTCTAATTAAATGCCATCCCTCTCTGATCTTTTCCTTATTTTGTAGTCCCTCATTAGTGAACACCATCTGAAACACACTGCTATGTGCATATATACATACTGCATCATTGCTACTGCTTACATTGTATCTTCTTGCTTTCCTGACTAGATTCTAAATACAAATACAGACACTGTTTTCTGCTTTTTTACATCTCTGCAGCATCTGGTAGAACAGTACACGCACAACAGATGTTTAGTAAGTGTTTTTGAAAGTCGTTTCTCTGTACTTAGATTTTGGCATCTGTCACAATGCCAACAAATGTGATTTACTGAAATGAGATTTTATAAATTTATCAGCATATAAAATCTTTTAGATAAATTAATTTACCTTAATATTAACAAGTTTATGAAACAAATACATTTTGACATAAAACAATACAGTAGAAAACCACTACAGCACTATCATTTTAGTAGCATTTGAATTTGAAAATCCCACTTTCTATATTACTATTTCTTTCAGGCCTGAGGTCTCAATGGTTCTTTAAATTATATAATATTTCAGTAACAGTGATATTTTCTGAAGTTTAATATAATTATTAGGGCTAAATATGTTGTTGTTGTTGTTGCTATGTGCCGTCAAGTCGGACTGACTCATAGCGACCCCTCCTTGGGTTTCCCAGGCAGTATCACTACAGAAGTAGATTGCCCAACCTTCCTTCTGAGGAGTGGCTGATGGGTTTGAACCACCAGCCTTCTGGCTAGCAGTCAAGTGCCTTAGGCACTATGCTATCAGAGCTCAATATAAAGGCTGTTAATTGTAGACAAGCAGTTCTTCTCTAGCAGATTTATTAATACCCTTTCAGTTATCTGGCAAATTGCCTTCTAGAATTTTCAGGCATCAAGAAAATAGTTATCATTCCAAGTCCCTTAAAGAAAGAGATAGAAAGGAATAAAGGGAAGTACAAGAGAGAAGGACAAGAAAAGAAGTTAGGGTAGGAAGAAAGAAGAAAGGAGAGAAAAGGGAAAGAAAAACTCCCACTCCTCACACACACACAGGCTTTGAAGGGAAATGGTATCCTTTTAGCTTGAACACAAGGTAGAGGGGACATTTAAAAAAATAAATAAAAACAGAACAGTGCTTTCTCTCCAGTGCCACAGAGTAAGAACTAGTGTTACAGTTAGAGAGGGAGTTCGTGTTTATGAGGGAAGGAGCAAAGGGGGAAGGGAGAAGCGGTTAGGAAAATGACAAAGCTTCTTACCCTTAGCAGCTCTGGTGGTACAGCGGCTAAGGCATTCAGCTGCTAACCAAAAGGTCTGTGGTTCAAACCCACCGAATGGTCTACCAGAGAAAGATGGGACAGAGTCTGCTTCATAAAGACTTACAGTCTTGGAAACCCTATGGGGCATTTCTACTCTGTCCTCTAGGATCACTATGAATCAGAATAGACTCAATGGCAGCGGGCTTGGTTCAAGTGGGTTTTCCTCACCTTAATATCATAGAGAGCTCCTTAGAGTGAATATTTGTTCCAGTATAGTTCAACAGTCTGAGGGTACAATGAGTGTATTATGCAATACAGTATTCAACTCTATCTTTTCACACCATTTATCTTTTCATAGACAGCTATTTTCCTAGAACCCACCTAGTTTCCTAGAACCCACCTAATTTTAGAAGGTCAGGAAGCATATAATATACTAAAGTTTTTATTGAAAGAGCTAATATTCAAATGGTAGCTGTTAAATCTCTCAGCAATCTAGAAAATTCACATAAAATAAGGGTCATTTTACCCAATGAACTTGAAAGATAAAGATCTAGTGTATTAATTCTGATGTTTCTAGCTACCATTTTGGGGTTAAGGTACTTGTAAAATAACAAATTTGATGTTGACAACCCATAGTATACTCTTCATAAACATAATATTTTACCTATGTGTAATTTTAAGCTTACAGCATAGATTTTTAAAACTGGAACTTTGAAACTCATATCTTAATGCATACATTTATAAATACTTAATCTACTACATTTCATTTTTTAAGTAAAAGAAAAGGTTAAATACAGGATAGAGTAAAACAAATAAATAGTATCTCAAGGATAGTTCCAACTTCTATTGCAACTTTCCCTTAATTCTTCTAAAAACCAAAATCTCCCGACCTAAAAGAATTCACTTCTACAAAGAGGAAAAGACTAAGTGATAGCAACTTATCCAAATCATCCATATCATGTATCTTTACTTAAAGATTAGTGGTTTATCAATAAAAGGACAAAATTTTATACTAATAGAATCTAAAAAGCAAATGCATCACTAAAGAAAACAATCAGAATTATAATTTCAAAAGAATATATTAAAGAAAGATTTTTTTTCCCCTCAGCTAAGCATAGTATCACTGAAAATATCAGATACACAACTGGGGTCATAAACAAAAAATATACTTAAAATAGTTTAACACTATCTTTGAGTATATAAAGGAATGAAGAATACAAAAAGTTTGTTGGATAATTGAATACATCGCTATCAAGCTAATGTGATGTGGAACTACTGTGAACACCTGTCAAATATTATCTAGAGTATGTAATACATATTACTACTATGTGGAAATATTTAAAGTTTCTGTGACTTCAGGAACTAAAAAGATTTTTCTTCATTACCCATGAAAACACTTTTGACTCCTATTTTCCTTCTTTCTCATTATGTGTTATCTTACATTAAAATTTCCCAGATGGACATAGTAATGCCCTATCATTCTTATGAACACCTATGAACATATATGTTTAAGAAAGATAAACTGAGAATTTCTAAGTATATTTTAAAACAAAGGCTGATTTTGGTATATAATGTCTTTGTATAAGCAATGAGTGTAATTTTAAACATTTTTAACATCCTATTTCTCATTCAAACTAGAACAGGAAACTCTAAGGTCCATTCTAATCCTCAGATTATAGAATTGTGATACTTTATTCAATCACTTCTCTAAAAAAATGAAAAGCTGTAATAAGACATATACCATTAAGTAAAGAGAAAAGGAAAAAAAAGACAAGGTAAAGTTTATTCACTGAAGTGACTAGGAGATTCATTTATGAAAAGTGCAGAGAAAGAAAACTTTTTTACTTTTGTTCTATGATTTCTTTTTATTAATCGTTCAAATAATTGCTGACATATAAAACAAGCAATATATGAGTGATCAATGTCTGAAAATCAAACTATAACAAATAAACATGTCATTTGGGAGAAAAAAAATAAAATAACTGCAAAATACTTTTCTACTTACTGAATTGAGTCCTAAGATGATCTAATTATAGTAAAAATTAAA